AAACAAACAAAATCCCTGGTTCTACTAAGAGTTTGTTGTTCCAGTCATGGTTATGGCTATGTCCTCAGTGCCTGAATGAATGAGTATAATTCCCAGTTAGCCCCTGCCCCACTGTCCTTCCCCCTGTTCATCTCTGAGGCACAAACCCAGAACCCAGCAGGCACAAGTAAGGTGGCCAGCTATGCTCTGCCACAAACCTGGGACAGCCTGAGTTGGGGACAGGGTGGGGGCTGCTGTATTAGGGATGTCTCATGGAGAGTCCCGGGCAGAGAAGGGAAAGGTTACTAGGCAGCTATGCAGCCAGAGCAGGCCTTGAATTCCTGCAAGTTGGAGGAACTGATCCCTGGTCCTGGATAGGTGTGTTTACTTATCCCCAGAGGATTAGGGGATACCTCTCAGGAGCTCTGACCCAGCTGCCTGAAAATGATGTGCTTCTGTTTCTGGCTGATCTGTGTATGATACCTTTGAGGCTGTCCCCTGATCCTGATCACTGAGCAAGGTCCCTGTTCTGATCTCTCAACCTTGATGGCTGATCGTTCTGTCTCTCAAGTATTGGGGACCAGCAAGAAAAATTTTTACTTTTATTATTTTTTTCTTTGTTTTAGTTTAGTTTGGTTTTTCGAGACGGGGTTTCTCTGTGTAGCTTTGGAGCCTGTCCTGGCACTCACTCTATAGACCAGGCTGGCCTCAAACTCACAGAGATCTGCCTGCCGCTGCCTCCCCAGTGCTGGGATTAAAGGTGTGTGCCACCACCGCCCGGCTTTTATTTGTTTGTTTTATGACACAGGATTTCTCTGTGTGGCCCTGACTGTCCTGGAACTCCCTCTGTACACTCAGGATCTGTCTGCCTCTGCCCCTCACCCTCTCTGAGGGTTGGGTTTAAAGGTATTTTAAACCTTTGGTTCTCTTCTATCTGGAATCGAAAGGACTGGCCACCAGAGGGCACTGTGGCTCAGTCTTTGTCCAGCAGAGCCAGTTCTTTCTTTCTTTTATTTTTTTCGAGACAGGGTTTCTCTGTGGTTTCGGAGCCTGTCCTGGAACTAGCTCTTGTAGACCAGGCTGGTCTTGAACTCACAGAGATCTGCCTGCCTCTGCCTCCCGAGTGCTGGGATTAAAGGCGTGCGTCACCACCATCCGGCCAGAGCCAGTTCTTGAGTCCTGGCATGGAGAAGCCAAATCCCAAACACTGTGGGCAACCAGGAAGACACAGGCTCAGTTCTGAACCTCCAGCCCTACTTAGGGCCTGGGCACCCGGTCTGCTCCCCACCCCGGCATCATAGGCTCCTGTGTACAGCTAGGCACAGTGGTAGGTAGCTACCTGTGATCAGCAGAGGTGGTTTTGCACCTGCAGACCCAGGGCTTGGGAGGTAGAGATTGGAGGAGCAGGAGTTCAAGATCATCCTCTATAATATTCTGGGGTGCTGTGGTAGTGCACACGCCTTTAATCCCAACACTCAGGAAGCAGAGGCAGGTGGATCTCTGTGAGTTCAAGGCCAGCCTGGTCTACAGAGAGAGGTCCAGGACAGGTTCCAAAGCAGCAGTGAAACTCTGTCTCAAAAACAAAAACGTGTGTGTGTTTTTGTGTGTATGTGTGTAAGTATATATGTGCGTAGATAGATATATAATATATAACAATATGTGTGTGTTTATATTTGTGTATATATATATATATATATATATATATATACAGACAGACAGACAGACAGATAGATGGTGGGGTGCCTCAGGAAGCCTTGAATGAATGTGTTAAGGGTGAATGAAGTCCTGAGTGAATTATGTTGCTTGACATAGGCACAGCCATATCAAGAACCCCAACACCTCAGGCCCATGGGAGCGGCAAAGCATTTCCCTCAGGGCTGGGCTCAGAGGGATGCAAAACCTTCCTTTGCTCCAAATGCAAGTGTTGACAGTGTGTGCGAAACTAGCAACTGTAACTTTTTCCTCCAGGACAACTGCGACCTGAGACCACAGGCGTGCAGAGACCTCCCACTGACACGGCTAACTCATCCCCTGTGGCTCAGTGCTGAGTCTGTGCTGTTGAATAGTAAGGGCCCTCCATCAGGGTGAGCACAGCCCACCGGCCCTGGCTTTTCTGTGCATGTCTACATGTCTGCCCTAACTTATTTTCTTTCTTTCTTTCTTTTTTTTTTTTTTTTTTTTTTTTTTTTTTTTTTTTTTTTGGTGGTGATAGTGGTGAGGAGTCGAGGCAAGATTTCTCTGTAGCTTTGGAGCCTTCCTGGAATTCACTCTTTAGACCAGGCTCCACCTACCTCTGCCTCCTGGGTGCTGGGATTAGAGGTGCACCACCACTGCCCAGCCATGTTTTCCCTTTCTTCATTCCCTCACCACCCCTGCCAGGCCAAGTCCCAGCCAGGTTGTGGAAACATATCAATTTGGGGGCCGGACTAAACTACAAAAGACCTGTCCAAAACATAGAAGAAATTATTTGCTGCCCACTCACGTCTGCTGAGACTCCAGGTCCTTCTATGTGACTCGGGTCTGTGGTTGCTGGGGCAGTTACTCTGCCTGCTGTGCAGAATGGACAGGGTTCATGCATAGAGAATTTGGGGGCACAGAGCAGCAAGTCTTTGGATGATAAAGATGACTCAGATGTGTGGCTACTGCAGCTGGAGGGACAGAGGTGCCGTGCCCTGAGCTAGGACAGCCTGGACTGGAGCCCATGTGGGAGACACCATGTTGTACAACGTCTGGTGTGTTGAGCTTGTTTGGTTCCAGGTATGGAACAGGGTGTGGTCTGGAGGCCACAGGCAGGTGGGAGAGAGGCATGGTGTGCAGACGGAAGTCAGTAGAGAACTCACATGAGAAGCACGGCTAGAATGGAGAATGGAGACCGGGGCTGGCGGCCGCTGACAGCAGGACAGACAGGAGGAACAGCAGGACAGAAAGGGCGATCAGAGCGAGTGGCTGAGTGTCTGCAGGAAAGGGAAGAAATCCTGGGCATAGCTCAAAGGTAGAGCCCCAGCATACACGTGGAGGTGCTGGGTTCCAGGTGTGACTACAGTCTAGCACCACGGAGACCCTGACATCCTTGCAGAGGGAGGGTAGGAAATGCAGACCCATGGCTGGGCAGAGTGGAAGAGACAGCTGTGTTCCGGCAAACTGCAGCAGAGGAAAGGAGCAGCAGAGCTGAATGTGGAGTAAGCCGAGCGTGGGGGATGCTGAGGCAGGGGATTTCAAACTAGATGCCAGTCTGGGTGACATAATAAGACCATGTCCAAACATGGTGGCTAACACCTGCAACCCTAGCACTTAAGAGGCTAAGGCTGTTGAGTGGTGGTGGCACACGCCTTTAATCCCAACACTCGGGAAGCAGGAGCAGGTGGACTCCGAGTTCAAGGCTAGCCTGGTCTACAGAGTGAGTTCTGGGACAGCCAGGGATACACAGAGAAATCCTGTCTTGAAAAATAAAAACAAACAACAAACAAAAAGGCAGGAGGGGTCACTTCAAATTCAAGAAGGTCCAGCCTGGGCTACTCAGTGCGTTCCAGAACAGCCTAGACTACAGAGAGAGAGTTCTAGCCCAGCCTGGTGTTACAGCATAGACACTAATATCAATGGATTAATCCACTGAGAGCTTTAGGAGGCCTGGTTGGATGGAGTAGGCCACTGGGGACAAGCCCTCATAGAGTGTCTTATTCCCCGTCCTTTCCCGTCTCGCACTGCTTCAGGGACACCAGGAGGAGAGTAGTCTCCTCTGGCTCCTGCACCCCCAGCTAAGATGCCCTGTCTCACCTCAGGCCTAAAGCAATAGGAAGCAGAACCAGATGGACTTGAAGCAAAACTTTGGAAACTAAGTTAAAAATAAATCTGATTTTCTTTCTTTTTTTCAGTGACAAAGGTCAGACCCGGGGCCTGGAACACGCTAGGTTAAGCACATCTTCAGCACTAGGTTTTCAGACTCAGGTTATACCTCAGGCTGGCCTTGAACTTGATATCTTGTCCCAGCCTCCAGAGTTCTGGGATTGACCCACACCTGGCTTTGGAATATTATATATAGTGAAAAACTAATTCCCAAAGCCAGGAAAGATGCATCATGCCAGATGCAGGAGAATCGGAGGTTCAGTGTCATCCTCTGCTAACTAGGAAGTTTGAGGCTAGCCTGGGCAACATGAGACCCAGACAAAGGATGGATAGGAGGGAAGGGAGGGAGGAAAAGGAGGGAAGGGAGGTCAGGAAAGGCTCAAATAGCCGGGAGGAGACTTCATGTCAGCACAGGCTGCCGTTAGGTAAATGTGGCCACTAGGGGGCACTGAGAGCAAGCATCTTCTAACGGGTGCTGCGGGAGATGGGACTGCAATGAATCTCAAGGCAATTAAACTCATGGGTGGTTTGGCGGCACACTAAATTTGATGGAAGAAATTAATCAGGCTAATTCTAACAACATGTGTTCCATGGCAGTGATGCCAGGAGGATTTGGGACTCGGGAAAGCACGGTGGCGGGTCTGATGGGAAAGAAGCCAGGGTGTGGACGACACCAGTAAAAGGACAGGTACCCAGAGCAGAGAGAGGGAACATTTTTTTTTTTTCAGCTGGGTTTCTCTGTGCAGTCCTAGCTGTCCTGGAACTCACTCTTGTAGACCAGGCTGGCCTCGAACTCACAGAGATCCGCCTGCCTCTGTCTCCCGAGGGCTGGGATTAAAGGTGTTCACATAAATTACTTTTAAAATATTTATTTGTGGGCTGGAAAGATGGTGCAGACATTAAGAGCACTGGATGCTCTTCCAGAGGACCCAGGTTCCACTCCCAGCGCCCATGTGCCCATGTGGAGGTCACATCATCTGCAATACCAGTGCCAGGGGCTTTGACACCTTCTCCTGAGGTCCTTGGGCACCAGGCACACACGTGGTACAGACATACACGCAGGCAAAACATTCATGCACATAAATAAACGTTTAAAAAGCCAGATCCTCAGATCAAGGACAAAACAAAGAAAGAATGGAACACTAACTACTGGGGAAACTGCCAAGAATTGGTTTTTGAAAAATATTTATTTGGGAGAGGGTGATGTAGAGGTCAGAGGACAGTCCACAGCCGTGCACGCTCCTCCCACCATGGGGGTCCTGAGAAGGCACTCGGGTTGTCGAACTTGTTGACAGGTGTCATTGAGCCAACTCTCCAGCGGCCGAAATGGGTTTTTAACAAAGTTGGGGAAAGATGATTTTGGAGGAAAGGGGAAGAGGGAACAGGGTGGGTGGGGACTGGACACTGAATGTAAGAAAAGGGTGTTGTTCTACCCTGAGAAGCAGACAGGCTGTGGGGGGTGGGTCCACAGGAAGGCTGGTGCCCCAGTGAGAGAGCATGGTGAACCCGGGGGACATCACACCACAGGGCACGTGATGTAGGGCTCCCAGGGAGTTCCTTCCTGGTAGGGCAACTGTCCCCTTTCCACCATGACAGGGTTTATGTTCACACACCTTATTTCTTCGGGAAACCTCACAGCCCTCGGGAGTGGGTACCCTTTTAATTGTCTTTATTCACAGATGCAGGTGTGGAGATTCTGCACTCTCACAGAACTTCTCAAGACCACACAGCCAAGACGTAGTGTGGGCGGCTTCTGAACTCAAGCAGAATTTTTCGGTTTGTTACAGTGCCAGGGTTTGAATCCAAGAACAGACGTGTGTCCGGCGAGCGGCCACCTCCCAGAGCATCCTCAAACTATACCTCCTTTTAAAAACGTACTCACAGGCGGGCAGTGGCACATGCCTTTAATCCCAGCACTCGGGAGGCAGAGGCAGGAGGATCTCTGTGCATTAGAGGCCAACCTGGTCTACAGAGCGAGTTCCAGAAAAGTCAGGGCTACACAGAGAAACCCTGTCTCTAAAAACAAAACAAAAACAACAACAAAAACCCTTACTAGTGTGCATGTGTTTTGCCTGTATGTATGGTACTTGGTGCTCAGGGAGGGCAGAAAATGGCATCAGATTCCCATGTGGGTGCTGGGAACTGAACCCGAGTCCCCTGGAAGGACAGCAGGGCATTCAGTCTGAACCATCTCCTCAGTGACCCCCCTTTTCCAAGACAAGGTCTCACTGTGTAAGCATAGCTAGCCTGGAGGATCTCAAATTCCTGCACACCAAGCACATATGAAGGGGTCAGAGGGACAGTGAGCGGGAGTTGGTTCTTTTCTTCCATCATGTGGGTCCCAGGGATTGAATTCAAGTCCTCAGGCTGAGCAGCAAGCGCCTTTACCAACTGAGCCATCTTGGCGGTTCCTTTTCATTTTTATTTTACTACAGAACCCAGCCCATAGCCCCATCCTTCAGCCCCTGCCCCAAGTGCTAGGACCGCAGAACACTACCCTCCACTTTAGCTTTTCTTTTCTTTTTGAGACAGGGTTTCTCTGTGTAGCCCAGGCTGTCCTTGCTCTGTAGACCAGGCTAACCTTGAACTCAGAGATCCACCTGTCTCTGCCTCCTGAGTGCTGGGATTGAAGTCCAGTGTGCCACCATGCCCCTGCCATGTGACTTTTAGCAACTGGTACTGGTGACCTGGACCTCATCGGTGAGGTTGTTTTCTATAGGAAGCTAAGAACACCCAGTGTTTGAACCTGGGGTTTGTCACCTCCACGACCATGAGGAACCAAAACCAGGTTCTGTGAAAGGGAAGTAGAAGGGGCCCCAGCTCACGCAGTGTCCTGGGACAGCAGCCTAGGTGACGGGAGCCACTGGAGATCCCCCAACCCCACCCAACCCTTTGCACTGAGGATGAAGGCTAAGAGTCTGTGTGGAGACAGCGAGGCCAGCAGCAGGGCTGAATCAGGGTGTCCCAGATGTTGCTGGTCTGGGGTTCAGATCCCCGGGACGGAGCCTTGCTCCTGGAGAGCAGCTGGGTGGGCAATCGCCCTAGAGAGATGGGTGAGATGTTTTCCTAAACGTCCCGTCCTTGGGACCAGGGCCTCAGCGGTGGCAGTGGCTCCATCTCATCGCACACAGGCGGGGGTTAAATAGCCACTATCTGCTTCTGAGACCCTTCCAGGACACCCTCTAGTCCGTATGGAAGGCATCCATAATCCTTGAGCAGTAGGCTTCCCTCCCTAACTTAGGGACACTGTTCATCCTGATCAATAGTTGATATTACCCCAACAGCAGCCACTCTGCTTCCCAGTTCAGTGTGCAGGTGTGGTTGAAATAGCCTGTGTAAGCTCTGCTTTAATGCTGCTTCTTCCAGAAAGCCCTTCCAGACTTTCTTCCTTCCTTCCTTCATTATTTTGGCATTGCTGGGAATGGAGCTAAAATCTCATTTATGCTAAGTAGGTGCTCTACTGCTGAGCCATGCCCCAGCCCCTCACTGGCGGTTCCTAGACAAGCCCTCTATTGGCCCTATGGTTCTGCTTCCCCACCAATAGCCAATGGCCCTTCCCACCCCTGGTACTCAAGCATCTTGTGCATGTCTCTCTCTCACCCTCCCTCACCATTTTAATGTCATTTACTGCCGGCCTGTGGCTTCAACGCCAACAGCCACACCAAGCACATTCTCCATGATGGCCTCATAGCCGTGTGACGCCCTATGGGGAGATGATAGGGGTCACAGTGGGTTATGAGCATCTCCACATCTCCCGTGGCCCAGGGATCTGGCCTGGCCTTCCCCATAGGAGCTGGGACTGAGTCCCTTTGCGGGGAGGTGGGGACAGGATGTGAGTGTCCGGGACACCTCGGGGTCAGCAGGGTATGTTCTCAGGCTTTGTGGCTGGGAGGAACGTTTCTCCATCTGTCAAGGCCAGCTGTGGCTTGGGGACCAAGGGCTGGGGCTGCCGAGGTCTAGCAGCAGCGGGGAGAGGAAAAGCCAAACACAGGAGGCAGTTACAGGACCATTAAATACAACTTAGAAACAATCTGGGTGTTTGGGGGTGGAATACAGAGGCAGGCGGCAGTCAGGGTGGGGCGGTGTGGGCCCGGTCCTGGCGGGGGCTCAGGCTGGGGTCATCTGAGCGGCTGGACTGTGGGAAGCCTGGCTGCTTGTGCAGGCCCCTCAGCTTGGCCAGCAGCTCCTGGACGAAGTCCTGAGGACAGAACGGGGTTCTGAGAAGAGAGCAGGAGACAGGCCTCCCGCCCCATGCCAGCGCCTCATCAGGCATCAGTTTACTGAAGCAGGAGCTGGAGCCAAGCAGGGAGGAGAGGGACACTAAGACACACAGGAGAAGGGGGGAGGGGTGGATAGAAAGATGGGGGGAAGCTGCGGTTGCTGCCTGAGTCAGTGATCCTATGTATCTGAGGCAGGAGAACTGCTGTGAATTTACATGCTGAGACCCAATCTCAAAAAAGGGGGGGGGGGCAGGGTGTGTGGAAGAGGGCTCAGGGGTTAAAAGCACTTGTTGCTCTTCCAGAGGACTCTGGTTCAGCTCCCAGCACCCACACAACAGCTCACAATCGTCTGTAATTCCAGTTCCAGGGGCTCAACACCCTCTTCTGTCCGGTCCCCATGGACACCAGGTATGTGTGTGGTGGTATACAGGCATACATGAAAGCAAAACACATGTACACATCAACTGCAATAAAGAGAGATGGAGAGACAGTCTAAGACCCAGACCTGAGAGAATTCTACACAGACACAGCCTCAGAGAGAAGTTTCTCATGCCGAGAACCAGTCCCCAGAGACCAGGTCTGAGCCAGCCCAGGCAGACTGACAGGCACTGACGCTTGTCCCTCAGGCAGCTAGGAGCAGAGGGGAGAACCATGAATATTTTCCCTTTTAAAGCAGAGGAGGAAGTGGGAGTGGTTACCGCGGCCAGTTCCAGGACCTGCAGGATGGGAGGCCCCCAAGAGGTAGACAGGGAACCCCAGGATAGTAGAGGCAGTCACGGGGGGTCAGAGATGGAGAGAGTGAGATCCCCCACTCCAGACAACCAGGACAACTAGTAAGGACAGGCACCATATGGGCCGAAACCGGAGCCACTCGCCTGGGGGAGGGGCTCTGAGGCAGCTGCCTACGGAGCTGGTGGCAGATGGGAGGTGGGAGGAGGAGGCAAGGATGACAAAGAACAGGACAAGAGATGGGGGCTCCCCCTGGAGTTCCCTAGGCCTGTCTCTGCCTCCCCCATAAAGGTGAGGGGACCAATCCAATCCGTAAGGACAGAAACTCACCTCCGTGGGGTTCCTGCAGGACTTCAAGAGTCCCTTTGGGTGGGTGGGCGGACGACAGAAAAAAAAAAAAAACAACAAAAACCAGTAAATGACTGACACCTATTCCATAAGAGGCCTTCCCCTTCCTGCAAGGGAGCAAGACAAAAGACTGCCAAAACTACCCGTGTGGCTTCAAGTTGGACAGGGGCAGGGTTAAACCACCAGCAGCTCAGAAGGCTAGAAGGCCAAGCCTCTGCAGCAGGGACCGAGGGGAAGGACCTGGCGGCCAGGCTTGGCTCCTAGCTCTCTCTAGTCAAGAAGAGCTGTGTGACCCTAAGCAAATAGTTCAACCTCTCTGGCCTTCACTTTCCTTATGGTGGTAAACGTGTCTACTTTACAGTGTTTTGCAGAGGATTTAGTGTCTGGCAGAGATGTGTTTAATAAACATGCCAACTTGGGCTATTCCGTTTAGGGCCCTGCAAAATGTTGGACTGGGGAGGGAAGGGGCGGCTTTCTCCCCACCTACCTGGATTTTGCGGCTTCTCTCCTCTTCACTGTCCAATTGCAACAGCTCATCAATGTTGACCTCATCGGGCATATCTGCTTCCTAAGGCCAGGGAGAGCAGGCTGCTCAGGGCCCATGTCTCCCTGGCCCTCCTCCACAGCCTTTGTCCAGGGTCTGGAGGTACTCCATCAACCCCAGGCCCAGCTGGGCCTGCTGCAATAATGTGGTAGGCAGGGACAGCACCACTGAGGCGGACATCTGGGGGTTGGGGGTGGGGTGGGGTGACAGATGGGTGGACGGAGGCCCAGGCCCTGGTACTAGCCCCATGCCTGCACCCTTGGCTCAGCCCTGGGGGCCTTGGGACTGGCACAGGGCTCAGTCCTTGGCTGCGGTTCCTACTCGGCAAAGCAGGCCCGGTCGAGTCTCGGAATGTCAGATTCTGGGATTCAGGTTGGCTTCTGCCCTTTCAAGGGCAAGTCTCCCTTAGCCGCAGTGGGTGTGGGGGAGGGGAGCCTGCTGGGGCGGGCCCCTTCCCCTGGGGACCAGAAGGGCTTCTGGGCTTAGGTCCAGCCAGGCCTCCCTGGGATACACTGCAGGCTGCTGGATCAGCGAAGTGACCACCAAGGCAGGGCTGGAGCTAATGAACAGTGGTACAAAAGCTATCTGGTCATGATGGGGACAAGATCCAGCTGTCCTGGGCCTCAGTCTCGTCCTGCTGCCCAGCTGGGGAGTGAGGGTGAGGGTGCTGGGCCATGGACAGAGGGGTCTCATGGAGGTTGCTTTGTTCAGAGGCCTGTGTGATCTGAGGCCTACGTGATCTGAGTGAATGTGGCTGCTGCTTAGGTTTGACTATCTCAGTTTGGACGTGGTCAGCTGTAGGGACCATCTTTATCTATGTATTTATTGTATTTTTTTGTTTGTTTGTTTGTTTTTAGATAGGGCCTAGATATCCTAGGCTGGTCTGAAACACACTACACAGCCCACGGCTGGCCTTGAATTCACAAATACCCACCTGCCTTTGCCACCCGAGTGCCGAGTCTAGAAGGTGTGTGCCACCACTGCCAGGTTTGTTTTGGATTCTTTGGACAGGGTCTCTCCTTATCCAAGGTTGCCTTCACCTCCCAAGGGCTGAGGTCACAGGCATTAGCTGCCATGACCAGCATGGTTTCTAAGGGTCTTAATTCCTGAAGCACCTTTGGCAGGTCCAGTCGTGACTACAGTTTCCACAGATGTGTGTGTCTACCGGGCTGTGGCATCTGTCCTTAGGTTTGTTGTCAGCAGATAATGGACGGCCCCCTTGTAACCTGATTCACTTTGTGTCCCAGGAGAGCTATGGGAGCTTGGAACGCTACAGCTTAAACTGATACACATCTCTGTACAGCTGTAACTCTTCCCTTGGCGCTGAGGGCGATTGTGTTGTGTGTGGATGTTATTGTGTCCACGGCAGGGCATGCTGTCCCTTAAGCTGAGCCATTCGCGTTCCTGTAAGTTTGTGTGCTCGCTCCTGGTGCTGTGCCTATGAGTGGCTGTGACTTCCGTCATCTGTGTATACTGGTGCTTCCTCTGCTGAGAGTCTCTGCTGTCCTATCTGCCTTGTCACCCATGTCTATGTTTGGCTTAAGGACATCCCCTCTCCCTATCCGCTCTCTCATTATGTTAGACTCTGGCCCCCCAATTCTTTCTCATCCCCTGTATACTGTATAGGATCCCACCCCGGGTTTTCCCAGGTGTTTGTACACACAAGTCTGGAGAACCTTAGGTGCATGTCTCTCTGTGTATCTACAAGCTGGATGCCCCTGAGCACAGAGACCTGGGCCTCTAGGCATGTGTCCTCCTAGCAAAGATCGCTGCCGGTGCAGCAGCTGGTGCACCAGTGAGCATATATCAGGGTCATCGAGGGCCAATGTCTCAGGCCACCTCCTTTCCCCAGCCCCGTTCCCTCTGGGTCTCACCCTGCCGCGGTATAACTCCTCCAAGCGTCCGTCGATCCACTTCTCCACGTCCAGCCGTCGCTGCAGCTCCCGCCGGTCGTACTTGACGGTGACTCGCGCGTGCCGCTTCTGCAGCCCACTGGGGCTACCCCCCGGGCCGCGGTTCCGCGACGGGGACTGAAGCTTGCTCAGCACGCGCTTGCCCAGCCGCTGCGCTGCCATCGCGCCGCCGCCCGCGGTCCCCACTTAGCGTTCTGCCTCGAGCTCGGGGCTCTTTCGGGCCGGGGCGGGGCCGCCGGGGGCGGGGGCTCGCGCTCGGGGACCCGCCCCGCTCCAGCCGCGGGGCATCAGTTTCCCTGCCTGCAGAGGCGAGCAGGCTAGTGTGCCGGCTTCCAGACAGGGTCCTGCGGGATGCACATGGGGTGGGGGGTGGGGGGCGGGACACTCAGCTCAGAGCACTCTGGGGTACGTATCCCGGGGCGGGGTCCCGGGACACGCTTGGGGGGGTCGGCCCTCTGCGACCTCTAGCGGCAGCGAGGGGTACTGCAGGAGCGCCAGGGCTTCGCTGTTTAGGGGCCGTCCAGAAACTTCTCTTTGTAAAAGCTCAAGGTTTTAAGACAGGGTCTCAATTAGCCATGTCTAGTCTTGAACTCCTAAGCCTCTTGCCTCCACTTCCTAAGTGCTTCGATTCCGGACTTGAGCCGCGACACACCCAACTCTTTTTCTTTTCTTTCTTTCTTTCTTTCTTTCTTTTTTTTTTAGCATTCTCAGGAATGCTAATCAAGCGTTCTAGCCTTCTGGGCCTAACTCTTGAACTATCATTTAGTTTACCTCCCTCAGTCATTCATAAATTCACTTCCTCCAGCACACAGGATTCATTGAGTGGTGTCAACCGCCTGTAACCCTGACGCTTAGGCCGTGGAGGCAGGAGGTTCAGGAATTCAAGGTGAGCATGGGCTACGAAGTGAGTTTCTGAGTTCCAGGACAAGCTGAGCTGCAGACCCTGCTTTAAAACAAACAAATAAAGCCTGGAAGGGTGAGATGGCTCCATTGGTTAAAAGGGCTTGCTGCTATGCCTAGGGACCTGATTCTGTCTCAACTCCTGCAAGTGTCCCTCAGACCTCTCCATGTGCCACAGCACCAGTACACACACACACACACACACACACACACACACACACACACTAATTATTTTTTTAAAGCAGGCATGAGGGCTGGAGAGATGACTCAGAGGTTAAGAGCACTGACTGCTCTTCCAGAGGTCCTGAGTTCAATTCCCAGCAACCACATGGTGGCTCACAGCCATCTAATGAGATCTGGTGCCCTCTTCTAGCATGCAAGCATACATGGTAGGGATGTTGTATACATAACAAATAAATAAATAAATAACATTTTTTAAAAAAGCAGGCATGATGCATCTCAGTGCCCAAAGTGGCTGGCAAAGACAATACTTGAGGCTGAGACAGGAGGACAGGTGAAAGTTCAAGGTAAGCCTGAGCTACATAATAAGAATTTCCTCAAAAAAAAAAAAAGGCAGGGGAGACCTGGAGAGGAGATGGTTCATCAGTTAAGACCTGGAGAGGAGATGGTCCATCAGTTAAGACCTGGAGAGGAGATGGTCCATCAGTTAAGACCTGGAGAGGAGATGGTCCATCAGTTAAGACCTGGAGAGGAGATGGTCCATCAGTTAAGACCTGGAGAGGAGATGGTCCATCAGTTAAGACCTGGAGAGGAGATGGTTCATCAGTTAAGACCTGGAGAGGAGATGGTTCATCACTGGCTGCTCTTAACTGGGTTCAGTTTCCAGCACCTCATGGTGGCTCACAACCATCTATAACTCCAGTTCCAGGGGATTTGATGCCCTCTTCTGGCCTCCAAGGGCTCCTGCAAAATAGACACCCAGGAACACACTCACACACAGAATAAATACTTTAAAAAATAAATATTATCAAGAGCCAGCGACATCAGACACTGTACCAGAAACAAGTGGTAAAGAACCCAGCAGGCAGTCTACCCGGAGCTCACACCTTGGGGAGACAGCAAACACACTAAGTACAGTATGCTCACGACTTCCAATATGACAAGGAGAAATGGGATGGGTAGGAATGTTACCAAGGGTGACAAGGGGTGACCCTGGCCTCGCAGGTCTTCTCACCTGGGTCAGAAGCAGCAAGAACCTTGCTTCCTTTATTGTTGTTGAGATAGTGGGCGAGCTCAAGGCCTCATCCATGCTGAGCCCAACTCCGCACGACAGCACTTTCTCGAGTTTTTTATGATTTACGTGATTTGCGCCATTGTCTTTCTCAACCAGGACTGTTACGAAGGTAGGGAGTTCGATTCTGCATGTTGGGTACAGGCAAAAAGCGACACGCAGGGCTGAGGAGCTGTTGCAGTCAGTGCTTAGTCAGGATTAGAGCCTGAGCGTGGATCCCTAAGACCCATAAACAGCTTGGCACGAGGGCTCGAAGGATGGGTTAGTGGTTAAAAGTGCTGGCTGCTCTTGCAGAGGACCCAGGTCCTGTTTCCAACACCCACATGGTGTCAGAGCCAACTGTAATGCCAGTTCCGGGGGATCTGACATCTTCTCACCTATGAAGGTACCAGACAGGCACAAACATGGTACACATACATACATAAACTCTCAAACACCTAAAAACAAAGTAAATCTCTTTTTTTTTCTTTTCTCAAGACAAGGTGTCTCCTTATAGTCCTGGCTGTTCTGGGGCTTGATTTGTAGATCAGGCTGGACTTGAACTCATAGCCTCTGCCTCCCGAGTGCTGGAATTAAAGGGGTTTGTCACCACCATTCAACTCAGCTTAATAAATCTTGGCTTAGGGGGCTGGAGAGATGGCTCAGAGGTTAAGAGCATTGCCTGCACTACCAAAGGTCCTCAGTTCAATTCCCAGCAACCACATGGTGGCTCACAACCATCTGTAATGGGGTCTGGTGCCCTCTTCTGGCCAGCAGGCATACACACAGACAGAATATTGTATACATAATAAATAAATAAATAAATAAATGTTAAAAAAGAAACAAATCTTGGCTTAATAATTATTTATTAATAATCTTAATAAATCTAATAAATAAAACTGCATGTAATAATAGTTCTGGAGAGTTAGAGACAGGAAGACCCTGGGGTTTTCTAGCCTGACTGAATCAACAAACCATAGGTTCAGTAAGAGACACTGTCTCAAAATATAACGTGGAAGCAGACGGAAGAACATCAGATACTACACGCTCGTGCACAAAATACATAAACACACACACAATAGCCATTTTCAGCTACATAGAAAGACCCTGTCTCAACCTGCCCCCTCTCCAAAAAGTCATTTTCCAGACATTTGCACAGTTCCAAACAAATCGGTACTGAAAGTACCCTCCTATCCCAAGGGGATGATAAGCTTTATTCAGGATTCAGTGCTCCACCTCTGAGCCACATCCCCACTCTCCTCCCTGCCGCCCCCGCTCCTCCACCTCTGAGCCACATCACCATTCTCCTCCCTGCTGCCCCCCCCCCGCCCGCTCCTCCACCTCTGAGCCACATTCCCACCCTCCTCCCTGATGCCCCTTTTCTCCTCCCATTTATGATTATATTATTATTATTTCAAGACAGGGTCTGGAAATGTAGCCTTGTTGACCTGAGACTCGATGCCACCACGACCTGGCTTCCCCTGTCCCTCTTGAGAAAGGGTCTCCTGCATAAGCCCTAGCTGGTCTGGAACTTGCTATGTACACCAGGCAGTCTCAAGCTCACAGAGATCCTCCTGTCTCTGCCTCCCGAGTGCTGGGGTTGAAAAAGGACACTGCTGTACCCAGCTTTCTCTTTCTCTGAGGCTTCACTGTGTAAGCCAGGCTTTCCAGGCACTCATCATGATATTCCTGCCTCAGCCTTTCTGTTAGCAGAGATCAGAGGCCCGAGCCCCTGAGCCCACCTGAGAAGTATTCCAAAACAGAGTCCTCCAAGCATCAAACGTCTACGGACCACTGCTTTACGTAAATCTGACACAGTCAGGATCTGTTCGCTCTTGTACCTTCCCTGCATCTACAGCAGGACCTTACTCGCTGACGTGTGCTGAGCTGGCGCATGCTTCAGTGATCGAGCAAATGAATGACTCTGTTTTCTCCCCAGCCATGGTCCAGCCACTTAAGGCTGTTTACAGGCACAATAACCCCTGGTGGAAAGCCAGAGGGTTGAAGTTCTGAGAACTTCAATGAAGGCGTAAGTCACAAACAATGCCACACCAATTCGGGGTTATGATTATTAGGGTGGTATTTATTTAAAGGGGAAAAAACTTACAGATCACTGTCCCAGGCAACAGCCCTCTACGCAACGAGGAAAGGAGTCTAGTCGCCGCTGAGCAGGAAGTGAAGAGAGAGAGGAGAGGGAAGTGGCCGCTTTTTTAAAGGGAGAGAGACCACGCCCCAATGGGCTGGTATCTCAGCGGTGATAGGCTGGAGGAGTGGGAGGACCTCCCGCAACACCTCCCCCTTTTGTTTAAATAAGAGAGTTCTAAACCTACTATGAAATTATATACAATAAGTACAAATATCCTATTCTAACTAGCTTAGGTCTTGTATAATAAATAACTTGGCCAAGTCATGAGAGAAGGTAACTACATTTATATAGTCTTCAACCCCATCAAAGATCTGAGAAGGGAAATAATGTTATCTGGGTAATTAGGAAGTTCAGTAAAACAACTTCCAAAACATGCAACAAATCACAGAGACAACTGGCTACCTGGGCAATCACCCAAAATCACGTTAGCAGCGTTGAGGCAACCAACTTTGGCTAAGGCCTAACATAACTGACATACCATTTTCAAAGGCAAGCAACTTTTCAAAACTATCTTACCCTGTCTTGGCAGGATATGACAGCCCTGTTTTATCCATTGATGCACGCTCTGTATCTTTGTCAGTCGTTGAGGTATGGGCATTTCTTTGCCCCAAGGCCAGTTCTGCCAAAAAGAAGGCTCCAGGTGGAGTGTCTTTGGTGCTCAACATTCTCTCGGGAATAGAGTGGTGTTGCCAGGAGCAATTGTGTCTCACTACCACAAAACTCTGAGTTAGATTAAAGGCCATTTTCTACAGCTCTTTGAAGAAGTTGAAGATTATCTATCTATACTGAGTATAATCTCTATATATCGAAAGAACCTGATTAGTCTATTATAAATGACAAACTTAGATGACTATTAGTCTATATAATTCTCAATATCTATCTAACTTAAAGACTAAGACAATAAACGACTGTGAAACAAATGAGGACAATGACCTCCAAATATAAACAATGTACAAATATACATTGCAGTAGGTAAATATAT